CCGAGGCTGGCACCCCATAAATGTGTGACAGACTCGACAGCTTGTCTGTCCCTTGAGCTTGCTCCACTGCCCTGACACCCTCCTGGCCCTCCTCGGCATGGCCCGTCCCTGAGATCTGTGCTAGGGGAACACCCATGGGCCCTGGGCATGGTCCCCCAGGGTTCAGCTAGTGGAGGTGAGTGTCCCACAGGAGGAGGGAGCTGCCTGGGCCAGAATGTCATAGGCCTCTGCACCTGGCTGAGCATCTGCCAAACTGAGGTCAGAAGTGGCTCTTTGGGGGCCTTGCTCCAGCTGCCACGCAGGGTTGAAGGGAGCCCAGCAGGTGTCCAGTGCAAGAGTCCAAGGGCCAAGGAAGGGAGAGTCAGGAACCCACCGTGTGGGGTAAGGGGCAGTGCCCAGCCCAGGAGTGGCCAGCCTCAGCTGGATGGTCGGGCTGGTCCCTTAGCCCAAAACCACAAATCGGGGGTGGTGTGCAAGCAGAGCCCAGACAGACATGCAGAGGTGGGGGGCTCATGCAGCAGTCTCATGAAGGGAAGGGGTCCTGCACATTACATAGCTCTGAAAATTGCCCTCTTAGCCACATCTCAGCTGTCAGCAAGAGGATGAAGCCTGGAGCAGGTGACTCCCCATGCTTCTCCCCCACATCTGCCAGATTCAGAGAGCAGCTCCACCACGGGCCCTGAGCCTGGTCACAGCACCTGCCCTGGGCTGCTCTGGCTGGCCTAGGCTGCTGGGCTGCTGGTTTTGAGAAAACTTGTGTGTTTCACATGCAGAGAGAGACACAGACCTACGAACACACACAAATACACATATATACAGGTACGTGCAAATGATGTGAAAATACACATTCACACGCATGGATTGTCCTATACACACATACCTACATGTATTCATACCTACATCTAGCACACCTCTACATGTACTTCTCTGTGTGCACAGATGTGCATACATATATGCAGAGTGCATTTACACGTGTGTGTGCAGATGTGCTGTTATGTTTAGAAACTGTAGAGTTCAAATTCAAATCCTCAACACTCAGAATCAGCAGGTTCCTCTGTGGGAAACATTTCTGGGAGTAACATGAAGCAGTGTTTGTACTTGGTGTAACTATGGCTCCGAGTTTGTGTGCCCCATTCTGAAAGCCCCTGGATTCTCATGTGTGCAGAAGAGCGTGCTTGCTGCACCAGGGAACCACTAACTCTCATTGACATTTTTCTCCCAGAGAAGTGGGTGGATCTTCCAGGCAGAAGCCTGCGCAGGTCTGGCATTGATTTTCACCAGATTTTGTTATTACATTTGTCTCACAGCTTTAAAATAGTAGCAAATATGTGCAATTTATTTAAACAACACTAGGGAAATTAATGCCATGCAAGCTTATCCTAGGCAAATGAAGATAAAGCAGGTTTTTTGTTTTTTTTATTTTTAAATGGCTGTGTGAAAACCCTGTAAAATTCTGAGTCTCAGACTCAGAGGGCCAGGTGAGCTGCTGCTGGTGCAAATGCATCTCCAGGGGAGAAGCCAGCAGGTCTCTGCCTCACCACGTGCTGCAGTCGAGGGCCGAGACCCACTCCATGGCGGTGCTCCTGGGGCCAGGGCTCCCTCCTGGCATCTCATGATAGGTCCTGTTGTTCCCCAGGTCTGGCTGGCTGCTCATGTAGACATGCTCAGGGACGGAAACAGAGCCACCTCCCCTCTCCAGAGGCGGGCACCTGGAAAGAGGTCAGCCTTGTTACCTGCAGGTGGAGACGCGGTGGGCACCTGGCTTTCCTTTGCATTTGGGGGTGTCCTGTGCTCCAGCTGCAGCAGGTCATCTCCCCAGGGCGCAATGGACAGGGCTGCTGGTGCTGCCTGGAGCTGGTACCCATGGGACCTAAGAATGTGCCTTTCTAAGGAGCTCCCTGGGGCTCTGCTGCTGGCCGAGGACCACCCTGGGAACTCTGAACCCTCTCCCTGCCTGTCTCGAAGGCATCCTAAGGGCAAGGAGTCACACGCAGACCCAGTGGAGGCCCTCTCTCTGCCACTCCTGAGGCTCAGAGGCAAATGAACATCAACCCGGCACAAGGCTGTGTGTGCCCCCTGGACCAGCGCGTGTGACACGGGCGTGGCGTTATGTGTACAGGCGTCGGCTCCCTTATCCCTAATGTACACGTGACACCATGCACATCATGATGCTCAGCAGATCCTGAAGGTGAAAGGAATGAAGCAGAATAACATCAAACTCTCCAAGAAAACCAGCATTTACATCTTTATGTGTTTCCTCCCAATTCTCTCTTGATCCTTTAAAAACAAATCAGGCCCGAGGTACAGTACCTTGGTGCCATTTCTCCACTTACTAATATTTCACGGACATTTTTCCCAAATGGCACCCTGAAAGAGTAACTTTTAATGATGATAATATCCTAAATAAGATATGGTTGGAATGGAATGGGATGCTGTTATTTACTATCAACATCCAGATTTTTTTTCTGGTATTTTTATGATTACAGAAACACACACAATGACATCTTTATACACAGACTTTTGCTTTACACACAGCATTCACTGGGACAGATTTCCAGCTGTGGAGTCCACAGGGCAATGGGGAGGATTCCTGCTGAGGCTCTTGGTGGTCAGCAGCAGGCTGACAGGTGGAGCAATGCTGACCACAGCCCCAGCGGGCGGGAGCCCCGGGGATGGCAGCGTGGCCAGCCCCAGGCCCGCAGCTCAACGCTGGACATGTTTCCACGGAGGTCTAAGTTAATGTCCATGGCAAACCTCGCGTCCAGTGCACCTTACCATGCCTGTTTCAGGAAAGAGGAAAAGGGGATGCTCAAGGCTAGGGACTTTTCTCCGTCTCTTGAATCTCTGGATGCACGCAGGTACTGGTGCACAGTCTGTTTCAGTCGAAGCCACAGGCTCAGCCCCTGGCCTCCTGACGGGCTCCCAGCCTGCTCAGTGTTGAGGACAAACATGGCTTAGTCCTGTGGGCTTGACAGATGAGGAGGACATAGCACTTTAACTTGCAATTGGATCCCTGGGAAATCCCAGGATTCTTCCTAAGTCTGGTGACTATTAGTATTTATCATGTTATGAATTGTCTGATGTTATTTTCATAGCATTTCCTGTTGTGAAAAAAAGATGCCTTTTTTTCTTATTGACTGGTAAGAGCTCTTTGCATGTGGACTACTAACCCTTTCTCAGATTGGTTGTAAATCATGTTTTCTGAAGAAATTGTCATTTGCTTTCTGGGTAATTTTCATAAAAAGACTTTTAAACTAAAATGTTTTAGTCTTATTAGAGAAAAGGAAGGAGGTCACAGGAAGAAAGAGGGGCCACCAGGGAGGACAACAGAGAAATAGATATGATAAACTACGATACTGCCATGCGGGGCCGGGTAAAACTCAGTGATACAGCAGGTTCTTAAGCATGCACAAGGCCAAACCCCAAGACCGAAATAAATAAACAAACAAAAAGTATAGCTGCATGTGGTGGCACAGACCTGTAATCCCAGCATTCTGGGAGGCTGAGGCAGGAGGATCATCATTTTAAGGCCAGCCTGGACAGATTAGTGAGACCTTGTCTCAAAATAGAAAATAAAAAGGGTTAGGGATATAGCTCAGCAATAGAGACAGGCTGGATTTAGTCCCACGACTACAAAAACCAAATAAATAAAAGAACTCAGATCTACGTTATTTCTTAGATAACTACATCATCTCCTTTGTAACGGGTCACCCCTTATTCAGCAATCCATGTCCTTGTACATGGATGAGGGTCTCCCTTGACTGTGGTCCCTGACCCGTGGCCCCCTTTCCCTGAATTATCCAGTTTTTCTCTATTAATCAGGGTCAAAAATTCTCTTTTTTTCCCTTAAATTCTTTTATTGGTACATTTTAGGTATACAATACATTGGGTGCTTGTACCTGTACATGATGTATCTTGATTCTTATTTTTTCCCCATTCCCTGTCCCTGTCCTGTCCCCACCCCCTCCACCCTTCCTTATTTACAAAGACTTTGTTTCCATTTTTTCCCTTTCTCATATTTTTTCCTTTCCCTTCTTTCCTTTCCCCTTCCCCTCCCTCTTCCCCTACCCCTTTGGACTTTTTCTTCCTATTTCAAATTATCAATTATTTGTTTTAATCATTTTAATCCTTATTTACACTTTCGGTTTCCCACACTAGAGAAACTATTTTGTATTTACACATGTGTGTCCTATTTATTTCACTTAAGAGTATGTCCTCAATACACATCCATTTAGCTCTAAATGTCTCTAGTTTCTCATTCTTTATGGCTGAGTAGTACTCCATTTTATTTTTTAAAAATCCATCTTCTTTATCCAGTTTCCAGTTGATGGGCACTTGGGCTGCTTCCAAGCTTTAGCTATTACAAACTGTGCCACTATAAACATAGGTGCACATATATCACTGTGGTATGATTCTTTTAATTCTTTTGGGAAGATACCCAGCAGGGGAATAGCTGGGTCAAATGGGACCTCTAGGCCTAGTTCTTTGAGGTATCTCCATACTGATTTCCACAGTGGTTGCACCAGTCTGCACTCCCATCAACAATGGAGAAACGTTCCTTTCTCCCCACACCCCTGCCAGCATTTGTTATTGGTTGGTTTCTTGATAGCTGCCATTCTTTCTGGGGTGAGGTGGAATTTCAGTGTTGTTTTCATCTGCATCTCTCAAATGACCAGTGATGCTGAACACTTTTTCATATGTTTATTCGCTGCTTTTTCTTCTTTGTCTGAGAAATGTCTGTTCATTTCAGATGCCCAGTTTTGAATTGGGTCTTTGAATTTGGAAGGTCTGATTTTTTTTCAGTTCTTTATATATTCTAGATAGTAGACCTTTGTCTGAGCTACAGCTGCTAAATATTTCTTCCCACATTGTAGGGTGTCTCTTAGCTCTGTTGGTGGTTTCTCTTGCAAGGGTCAAAAATTCTCTTAACAAACCCTTCCTTTGTGCAGAACTTAACCAGACTTCTCCACCTCTTCTCTCCCCACCAAATGATGCCACAGAAAGGAAAAAACGTGGACCTGGACCCCGCTCAGCCCCCCCAAGACATACTGCTACCGTGGCCCCAACGGCAGAGCTCCAGCGGCCTGAGGCGGCAGAAACGGGACTGGGTCATCCCCCCCATCAACGTGCCGGAGAACTCCCGCGGCCCCTTCCCGCAGCAGCTCGTGAGGGTAAGTGCCACCGCCTGTGCAGCAGGCATGGCCAGGAGGCCACGGCTCTTCAGATTCTCATGTGGTATCCAAGAAGGTTGAGGTCCCGCCTTTTCTGGAAGGGAGCAAGGGTTATGCAAAGTGCAGGGCAGGCCATGCTCTCCGGGAAATGAGCCTTCTCAGTTAGGGTGACTTGTGTCCTGGTGGTGCAGGGTCGCGGACAGGGCCTCTGGCCTCTGGCACACTTGTGTGGTCTGTTGGCCACCATGTCTTTCCACGTGGAATGGTGGCATGTCTTTGATGACGGTCATGGGGTCATAGAGAGGGCACACTGAGGTCCTGAGACTGACTAGCAAGGCCCAGGCGGGCCTTGTGGTCCATCCACGACCTGTGCTGCCACTGATTCCAGCAGCCACCACAGGCTGCTGCTCCCGCAGAAAGAATTCCTTCTACAAATTTGCATTTTGTAGTCAAGGCCATCCACTGGTATTTCCTTCTTCCATCTGAAGAGAGCTGCAACTCAATCTAAGCAATAATTTGATAAAATGCTGGCAAGTGTTCCATTAATTCCCATCCCCCTCTCTGGAGATGAGGCTCCTGAGTGTGGGGAAGGGGTCAGCTCCACGCTCCAGGCTGAGTAGCCTGTCTTGCTCCTCACTCCGTCCAGTGTGCAGAGATGGGTAGTATATTTAGAAGGCAGAGATGGAGCCTAGGAAAGCACCACATGGTGCAAAGCCCCCGGGTCCTCGTACCCCCAGTGTCAGCCACAAGGTGTTCAATACCCTCCCCAGGAAGGAGCCAGGATTGACAGGCAATTTAGAGCAGAAACTGTGCGTTAGTGCCCGCAGGGGCATCCACACACCCAAGGAGTCGGCGTCACCCTGCCTCTGCCTGTGTCCTCCCAGCTGGCCACACCCCTGTAGTGGCCTGGCTGGGTTGGAGATTTTATTGAGATGGGGACCAAGACATGAGGGCCACCTTCAAGGACGGAAACCCACTGAAGAGTAGCTTGCTGGGTCACAGCTCCTGGGCCCATTGGCCAACCCCTAGGCCACACCGACACTAATTAGGGCACCGATGACAGTTGTGTGGTCCCCACGCTGTGTCCACAGCCTCACCACTCTCACAGTATTTGAGGAGTCTGACTATGCTTGTGTTGTCATTTACTTAAGCTTTTCTGTAAGCACTTCATTTTTTTTTTTTTTTTGGTACTGGGATCGAACTCGGGACGTTGCGCTTGTGAGGCAGCCGGCAGAACCACTGAGCTAAATCCCTGGCCTCCAGGCTTCATTCTTAATATAACTAAGTTTGTTCTAATGGAGGCTTCATGCCCAACTGCGACCTGCATGGTTTTGTTTGTTAGAAAGAGTTGGTGGTAAAAACAAGCAAAGGCAGGGCAAACAGCTGAGATTGTGTACCCTCAGCCTGGTGTGTGGGAGGCAGGTGCCCTAGGACGCCTCCTCAGGCTCTGCTGAGTGTCCTGAAGAGAGAGAGGAACCTGGGGGGGGGGGGGCCCACTGCGCTACTCAGGCCTGTGCTTCCCAGAATCTCCACTTGGAGAAAACCATTGGTCCTACTCAGCCTCCCCAGTCCATAAGCCCTTAGGCTCTGCCGGCCCCCCGTTGCCTGAGTACCGGAGCTATTTGAACCGGCGGGCGTGGTTGGGTGCCAATAGAGCCACGTTCATGAAAGTAGGCACGGCACTGAATTTGCCCACGTGCCATAATTTGACAACCACCAATCCAACCCCTGTCAGGCTCCAGGAAGGTCTACCCCGAGTCTGCCTCCCAGACACAGTGGGCACATCCGTATTTGTTGGCTGTGTTTGTGAGTTCAGCTAGTGTCTTGGCACTTCTGGGATATCCTGTTGCCTTGGCTTGCAGAGTTCTTCAGGCAGATGAAGTAGGACCAACACATGGGTCTTTCTTCCTCCACTCCCATCTGTAGACAGGCTGGGAAAATCTACCAAAAAGAGGGCAGTCCCTGTGGGCAGAGCCATGCCCCAGAGGAGGCCAGCTGGGTGGGATCTGGTGGCCTCACTAAGCCTGCCCTGACCACCTCCTGCTGGGCCATGCAGAAGAGACCAAATGAGACAACTGCCTGCCTGGCCATGAAGCACGGGGACTGTGGAAACCAGGGCTGGGCGGGGCTAACAGAGGACTGGCCCCGCCCACCGCAGCAGAGGTGTGGGTGGCCGCCCTGGGCTGTCTTTGATGGGGGACCTTCTTTCTCAAAGCATCGCAGTGAGAGTTGAGCTTGCTGCTCCCTGGATGCCCTGACAGGAATGTGGTTTTCCAATCTGAGCCCCCAAAGCACGGGAATTTGCCCCTCCCCAAGTGGCACGAGCCTTGGACCGCATGGCCAGAGAGAGCAGCGGCTGGCAGGTCCCCTGCTACAGAGCACCTAAGACTTTCTGTGAGGCTGATGGTTCCAACCCTGAAATGTGTGGACAGGAAATGTGAATTTGGCTTTAGGTGTCAGAATGAGAAAAGCTGCAAATTCAGCAGTGCTGGAAGCCATCTCTGGCAGCTTCACCAAGATGGCTGCTTCTTCTGTCCTAGAGCGAAGCATCACCACGGCTTAGAGCAAATGTGTCACCCGTCCTCTTATGCTCTGACCTCTCCAGCCACCCTCTCAGAACTGTCACCTCCAGGCAGACAGCATCACCTCAAAACAGGATATAGGTGTGTGAGGTTTGCTCTGCTGCTATGAGGAACAGGCCCAAACTTTCACAGACATAACCCAGAAGTCACCTCGTGCTCATTGTGCAGGGCTGTGTACCAAGACCACCACGATGGGCCCCGGTGGCCAGGCTGGGGAGTGGCATACACAGACTCTGCCTGTGTCGCATTGGCTAAAGCCAAGGCACATGGCTGCACCTGATTTCAGGTACCTGAAGCTGCAGTCCAGGACCATGGTCATAGGCAGGGAAATTCGCCCAGTGAGTGGCTGGCATCTGCCCTGGCAAGTGTCTTCAAGGACATGAGATCAGCTGGTGACCCTCCCTCCCCAAAGGCCAAACTGTCCCAAGGACCCCACAGCCCCTCAGCAGCTCTGGACAAGCAGTTTGGATCTGACTTGCCAGTCCTTGCCCACACCCGGCCTCTCTCTGCCCCGCACCCAGCTGTGTCCTCTGACCTCATGATCACTACGCATTCCCTGGGCCTGTCATCTGAGAAGACAGCAGCTGTGTCTGTTTCCCTGCTGCCCTGGACAGCCTGTGGCATGCGGCCGGCACAGCTTCTGTTGAAGGGGTGGTGCATGAGTGAGCATCCGGGCGGGGAGCAGCCTCAGTGGTGACCCTGGCCCAGCAGCTGTCCAGGCCTTCAGAATGCCTCAGACTGACGGGGCAGGCTGCCCGCGTTTGGCTCCCCTCCACGTCTACCCAAGAAGGCAGCCACGCTGGGCTGCTTTGGGGTGGAGATGCATCTGTAGCGTATGGAAAGTGGCTCCCCATTATGGCTTCTGAGAGAGACTTGTCTTCCCAGTTGTTATGTAAGATCTCGGTGCACACACACATATGCACACGCAAACACACGCGCACACACACATTCTAATTCTCAACCAGCACAGAGCACGGTGCTGGGTGCTGTGCTACGCCTCTCCACCACAGGAAGTCCTGTCAGTATTTCAGGGAAGGCCGTCCCTGAAAGCCCAGATCACAGTGCGCATGAATGCCGCTTGATGGAGCAGGAGGCTGAGTGGCGCACTTGGAGGTTCTCGGGGATCAGCTGCAGTTCCGCGCTCATTAAGGCATTTCATTCTGATAAAATATGTTAAATGAGAAAGTGAGTGGGAGAGGAGGCAGAATGTTCTTCCCCAAGCCTCGGTTAATTACAGGCTTTTTCCTGTAAGGAATTGCACGTCTCTTCATGAGCACAGGCTGTGCCAGGAAGGACAGATAACTCCTGGTGGAGAGAGAGGCTGGTGGGAACTGTGGCTGTCATTGGTGAGCAGCTGGCTGTGTCCACAGCAAATCATGGCAGCGCTGCTGGCAGGTGGTTTTGCCCCCTGGAAGCGGACCTTGGCATTGTCCACCATCACGTCCTCCAGAGCCGGTGTGCTGGAGGCTTCAGCCCAGCGTGGTGCTCTTGGGAGGTGGTGGGCCTCACGAGAGTCCTCTGGGAGGCCTTCTGGTCACTTGGGGGTGCCCTCACAGGGACAGCGGGCCCTGTCCCTCCTCTCTCTCTCACAGTGGACCAGGAGAGGAGCAGCCTCCTTTGCCACATGCTCCAGCCCTGATGTCTTGTGTTGCCTCAGATGCAAAGCGACAGGGCCAATTGGTCCTAGACTGAAACCTCCAAAACTCTGTACCAACGTGAAATTTTCTCTTTCTAAGGTGATTATGTCGAGTGTTTGCTACAGAAGCAGGAAGCTGGCTCATATGGGGGAAGAAGCAGGGGACAGTTGCGCAGCTGACCCAATGGAAGGTAGACAGGGCTCGCCTTTACATTCCCAAAGGGCAATGAGAAATGGCAGGACACCTTCCCTGGCCGGAATGCCAGCTCTGGCCGAGACAGCTGGGGCATCTGCAGGTACCACACACCATGCAGGCCTTGAAATCCAAAAGGGAAGCACAGAAATTTCTTGTGGCCTTCCAGAACCACCAAGCCATCAGCTTTCTGCTGCTCACCCAGAACTGGGTCCTGTAACTATAGAGGTGGTGGCAGGTCCTACACAGGGCCTCAGCTCAAGATTAGGAAAGCTGCCTACTTCTCTCATATGCACATTAGGTTTGACTTCCGGCAAGATTCAGAGTGAGGATGAAAGCAAACTTGTAAAAGGTGGATCTGTTTCATGGCTGATCTAATAAAAATTCAGAATTTGTTAACTTGAGAGGTTGTCCACGGCAACTGCAAGAATTGACCGAAGACAGAGAACAGGAGGGTGGTGCTCTTGGGAAACAAAACCTTTAATTTTGGAAATGATATTTAAGAACACGGAAAGTCTTGTAAACCAGTCCTGGGGGCCCTGCCAGAGACCAGCTTGGGATAAAGACTCCAAAGGAAGTTGCTGCAGCG